TTCGTATTTCATTTCTTTTTGTTTGTGGCTTCCAATTAACACTATGTTTCCTTTTTGTTTTATAGGTTTGTCAATGATAAAGGAAGTGTGATTGAGAGGTTCCTTGGCCTACAACATGTTTCTACACACCACATCATCTTCACCGAAGGAAGCATTGGTTTCTATGCTTATGAGATCACGGGTTATCTATAGCCAAGGTTAGAGGATTGGGGATACGATGGAGCTTCAAACATGAGAGGGCGCTTCATGGGTTACAAAGGTGGTATTGAATGAAAACCCTTTGCTTTTTACATCCACCTGCTTTGCTCATCAATTGCAGCTTGTGGTAGTTGTCAGAGTAGCAGGAGTATTGGGGATAACTCAAGACCTATCACAATGTTTGCAAAAGAAAAATCAAAACATTGTTCGTGTAATAGGATTGATTGGTTCTGTGATGAGAAATATAAATGCCATGAGGGAAAATGGTTGGGATGATCTTTTAGAGAAGACAAAAGCCTTTGCTGCCAAACACAATATAGACATTCCTAATATGGAAGATATGATACCAATGAGAGGTCGCTTCAAAATGTCGTGGAGCCAAATATGTGACCTACTACCATCATATTCATCATGGGATTTTCAATGTTGTCCTTGATCAAATAATTTGTGAGTTGAACAATCAATTTTCGTAAAGATCAACTCAACTATTGAGATGTGTTGCTTGTCTTGATCTCGACAAATGAGTTTGCCAACTTTGAGATAGAGAAATTAGTTGAGCTTGCTAAGATTTATTATGTTTGACTTTAGTGATTATGAATGTGAAAAGCTAAGAACTGAGCTTGAAAATTTCATGGATGAAGTCAAACATGATGAAGATGAAGAATTTTGCTCTTGTATTGATCTTGGTGGCCTTCTGAGAAGATGGTTAAAACTGATAGACATACATATTTTCCTTTGGTGTATCGCCTCATTGAGCTTGCATTGATATTGCCCGTGGCAACAGCAACAGTTGAAAGAGCCTTCTCTGCTATAAATATTATCAAGACCGACAGGAGGAATAAAATGAATGATGATTGGATGAATAATAGCATGATATGCTATATTGAGCGGGATTTGTTTGCATCCATTGAAGATGATAAAATTTTAAAGCGCTTTCAAGGCTTAAGAAACCGTAAGATAAACTTGCCACCCAAGGTCCCAAGGTGTGTATTGTTTTAGAGCTTTTCTTTGTATTTGTTATCTTGGTTATTGAAGAAGTGGTTGACATTTAAAAATTATGTAGCATTGAGCGTGGCGGTTCAAGTGGTGTGAATTCTTGAAGATGGAAGACTCCTTGTATTTGGTACTTTTCTATGCTTATTATCATAATTCTATGTATCTTTGACTTTGAGCACTTTGAATCAATTATCTAATTCTATGCTTATTAGTGTACTGTGTCCAGCGAGCAAATTTTTTTGGCCTATGTTGTTTAGCCCCCCCCCCCCCCTTGGTCCGTTTCTAGATCCGCCACTGCACATCAGTGCCCGAGGCAGGCGAGGCCGGGCGACGATGGCGCAAGGCATGGAGACGGCGACACGAGTGGGTCCGGGGTAGTCAAGGTCAAGGGGAGGGGCTAAGGCTGGGGTGACGACGCCGTGAGCGTCTGCTCATGCCATTGGGATAAGGTAGAGAGAGAAGTGAATATAATGAAGGAAAAGCAAAAAAACTATAGGGTATTATAGACATTTTATCATTTTGAGTATCCATGAGAAGTCTTTCTCCTAACGGTTTTTAATTAGAGAAATTGGAGCTAAATAGAGCAATTTCATCATTTTGAGCCATGCATGGTGAGCGTGAGCCGTGACACGGACACCGCCTCAGCCCTACCGCCGAACCCACTACGCGAACAAGACAAATGATCCAACATCGTGTGGTCTCCTTCACGCTTAGAAGAGAAAAAAACAGAAACAAAATGTTGCGCAAAAAGAGTTGAACACAAGACCCATGATTTTATAAAATCATTCCCAACCACTACACTATGAATATCACATGGTACTACTTAAGAAAACAAAATATACCTCGGAACATCTCGCGAATACGGTATGAATACTCAATATAATCGTGGAACATCCAACTTATACTATATGAATATCCAGAAACATAACATAGAACATTATACATATACACTATGTGAACATTATATATGAAAAAAAATACATGTAATAGATAGAGGTAATAAAAAGAACATCATAATTGAGGAAGAGACGACTACGACTACTGCTTCAGATGGTCTAGCTAGCTCGCCATGCATTTCTCTCGGTGGACATGCTCGAATGCGACTGGCACGAGCGGCTGGGTACCAACCATAGGTGCTGTACGTGCTGACCTCGGCGGATCGGAGCCGCCATGCAGGCCGAGTCGACCTCCGTCGTCAGGGAAGTCTGCGGTCGCGATCACGTGTACGGCGTCGTACATTCAGCGATATGCATGAGAACGGCACATTGGCACCTGTCAACCCGCTGCATTAACCACGAGGTGACGGCCGGGTTAGTTTAGGTTTCAGATGAAAAAGACTGCTGTTCCTTTTTGTTTTTGATAAACAAAAAAGGCTGCTGTTCTTGACTCTTGAGAGTAGTGCTGGGGTGGCCAGGTCTTTGCCGCACCGCAAAACCAATCTTCCACGACGTGGGCCTAACAAAATAGCAGACGTCGGGCTGAAGATGGGCCGGCGGGAAGAAGCCCAGGTATCAACCGTGTCACGCCAAGTCCATTCTTAGATCTGCTAAAAAAAAGTCCATTCTCAAATTCGGGGAACTGAATATTCGACTGACAATGCGTTTAGTTGCACATAATTTTCGTCTTTAAAAGTACAACAAAGCTTTTATTGGCCACAATATTATTAACTTATTACAAGTAGATATAAATGTCCTAATTTGTAAGAGAATCCGAGCCCAAAAGAAAACGCACAACTGTATAGGGGCAGAAAGCCAAAAACTATATATGAACGTAACTCTAAGCTTACAAGTACGCTAACGAGCGCAACTACAAAAGAAAACTGGTCGAAATAAAATCATGTATAACTACAAAAAGGACTTCATCCCCCGTCACTATTAATTAATCTGCCATCTCACAAAATTTACTAATGTGTCACGAAACTCTACCACCGCAATCACAAAATAGACTGCCAGACATGGAGACCTTCCTTGAAAACCCAGAATCCCAGCCTCTGACCCCAAATATCAATTTACATTCATCCATTCCTCACAAAAATTTGCACCTAGCAACCAAACAAAAACAAAAATTTGTACGGAGGCTGCTGCTCAACCGAGGAGTCCTCCCGCACCATCCGCGACCGCAGCAGTATGGCTCGCACAACCGGCGTCATGAATGACGACGCCTCAAGTGGACCATGGCATCGCTTCATCGGGATTCGAGATCGAGACGGCGAAAGAATTAGGGCCGCTTTGGTATGGCTCTGGACCACTTCTAGGAGCAACAGCACCTTCCCACCAATAAAACGCCAACAAACGGATCCGCTCCGCTCCGAGCCATGGGAAACCCACCGAGAGAGAGAGAGAGGAGAGAGAAGATAGAGTCGCAAAACGTAGCTTCGGCCGGCTCCACACGGGCAGCCATGGGCTGTAGCATGACCATCGGCGGATTGCCCCCACCGGTGCTGTGCTAGCGCGGGGTCGCCGAGGGCCGTCAGCGTGGATGCAGAGGGTTGCCGGAGCGCCATGGCCGCAAGCGGGGTCACCGAGGGCGCCAGCCGGGTTGACGGAGCGCCATGGCGGCCACCGAGGCGCGGTCACAAGTAACCGCCGGTCTTCCGTCTGCATGGAGCTCTGCAAGGTCATGAAGCGGATAGCAACCATGCTTTTTGTGGATAAGCAACTGCCTTTTTTGGCTTATTTGCTCAGATTCGGCTTATAATCCACAAAATGAAGCGGTGTTTTTCTCACACCAAACCAAACCAATAAAGATTTTCAAATATGACTTATAAGTCAATTCAAATTAAACGAACAAAGTCAAGAAGAACGAAGAGAAGGAAGCCGAAAGCATGCTTTGCCTAGGGACTGCAGGGAGAAAAGTGAATCCTATATACAGTGGAGACAATAAGAGACAAAAAAAAGAAAGAATTGAGGATAAGGTGCCGTGTGGTGAAGATAAACAAAAGGACAACAAAATAAAAAAAATAGATACAAATAAGGAAAAATAAAAAAGAAGAATATAAATAAAAGGGATATTATATACATTTTAATTGATATATAGAATGTAGAAATTATTGTTTGCATCTTCAAATATAAATACGTATTTCGGACATTGTCCCTATCTTAACCATTCATAACAGACATGAGGAGCTTGTTTAGCCAAATGATTTTCCAAAACAAATTTCAACTCGCTAAAGAATCTGCTCCAAAGACAAGAGTCGAGCTAGAGCTATTTTGAGAGGAGCCGGAGAGCTACCAAACGAGACTGACAACTTGAGGTCCTCTTCATGTTGGCGCGTTGCTGCGTGTGCATGCAGATGCCAGAGAGCATCAACATGAAGGCGCGCCCCGACCGCGCGTAAGTATTCCCGTTCGAAACGAAGCGGGGCATCTCGTGCAGCTCCGCCCCCAGCGCCAGGATCGTGGGGTCGCCGCCAAGCGCCGCCGCCGACTGCGCCACCGCTCATTGCCTGCTCTCGAGTATCTCCACCGCCTCCTGGTGCGCGCCCCGCTCCGCCGCCGCCCTCGCCGCAGCGTTGTCCTCGGTCGCCTCCACACGGACGCGCTCCCCTGCTCCACCTCCGTTGAGCGTTCCGCGTCCACCACATGCTCCGGTTCCGGTCTCGCCACCACCGTGTCCTCCGCCGTCACGTCGACGTGCGCGCCTCCATCCGTGTCTCGGTAACTGCAGCTCACCTTGGTCAGAGCAGTCTCGCCGTCCGTTACTTTCACGGCTGGGACAGACAAGAACAGCAGGAAACGCCGCTCCTCATCCGCGTATAGCTCGCCGACGCGGACAGAAGCGGAGCGGCCGTGCTCGTCGGCGGGCTGTCAGTAACGCCCGGACTTGATCGAGCAGACGCGAATTCCGGGATGCCCGCAAGCGATGGCGACGCGCGCGTCCTGCACCACGACGGTGAGCAGGCCGCCGATGCACTGCGCGAACGCGTCCTGGATGATCGCCTACCGGCGGTGGCCTCAGCAATGACGTGCATGCATGGAGGTTGCGTCGTGGTCGTTGCCGAATCCACACGTGTGAGTCGGCGCCGACCAATCTCTGGTGCCTGCCAGTGGACATGAAGGACGGCCTCGTAGTTGGGTGCGGTGCCCCGCAACCACCGCGGCGTCGTACGGTGTTGGTGTCCTGGCCGGCCGTCGGAGAGGAGTATGACGCTGGACATGGTGTTCCTGCGCCGGCGGTCGACGAGCACCTTGGCCGCCGTGCGGAGCCCTTCAGCGATGTTGGAGCCCCTCTTGGTCGTAGCCTTCCCGGTGCCCGACATCCGCAAGAGCCTGGTGACACGGCGCCCCCCGGAGGAGATGGACACAACGCTGAGGCGGTCCTGGGGCCTGAGGTTGTCGATGACGAACCCCACGGCCTGCTTCAGGAGCGCGAGCTTTGCCCCGGTCATGCTGCCGCTGACGTCCAGCACTGTCACGAGGTCGAGAGGCGCGTCGCCGGACGCCGCTTCGCCATCCGTCATCCCGCGAGCCTGGACGTGCACGAGGACGGCGAAATTGTCGCGCGACGTATGTACGAGCCCACTCTTGACAGCTAACGTCCCACCGGATCTGGATGACGCCGTGGCCTGTCGTTGGTCGCCGGAGGGCGGCCCTACCTGCTTGTCGTCGTCGAACACTTGAGGCTCCTCGGGCTGGAGCTGTGGCCGCCGGCCATGCATCGGCAGTGGCAGCACACGGTGCATGGGCTCCGGCCGTGGCAGCGGCTGGCCGTGCGGTAGCGTGCGCGGCACCGGTGTCGGCCCCAGAGACGGCAGCTCGCGCCACCGCGCGCGTTGCAGAGAGCGGGCAGAAATTTATACGCACGAAAATGAGTCTGCTTGATTGATGCATCATCTTTGATTGAAAGAAATTTATCTGTCAGATTAAGAACCAAAATAATTGCACGTCGAATAGAAAGTGCCGATGGAATTTCGGGGACCAGCAGGCTGAAGCCCAACTCGCTTACTGCACACAAAAACGCAGGCCCAACCACCCCATGTCGACGGGAATTCACAGCATGGTCCAGTATATTCCAGCCCACATAACTTTGAGCCCAAAGCTGCAACGTCTCGTGCACAGCACAGAAGCGGCCTGGGGAACAGCGAGCTGGGGACACACACGAGTGAGTCTGACGACCCTGGCTCGCTAAACACCTCTACGACGAGTACAAAAAACACGCAGTACGTGCACGTACACCAACACACACTCTGGCACGCGGACCCTAGCACGGGCTGCTCCGACCGTAGTTGTCGTCTCTGCCAGGCGGAGCATCGGCGGTGGCGGCGGACGAGATCGAGAACTTGTCGTTGATGCCCGCGTGGTAGAGGACCGCCCAGATCGAGGTGCGTGATGAACTCGCCGCCCGTGCCGAGCTCCTTCTGCCTTCTGGTGCGGCGCTATCGACACGATCAGCTCGCACCACGGCTCAGCGCCTCCCATACGTACAGGCCGTCGCCGCCGCCATGCATGCGTCGGCACGCTCACCGGAAGATCTCTGGCGAGCATCTGGCCTTTCGAGACTATGCTGACCTCTTTTGGCTATCTTGTGCTCGCCCCGTCCCCTGCTTTCCGTGTTGGCCTCCTCCTCGCCGCCGTTGGCTGCTCTTTTTCTGTCCAACCGCTTTTGCTTCGTCGAGGCGAGGACGTTGCACATGTCCTGAATCCAGCGGCGGCCGTCCTCCAAATCCTAACTTGTTTCCGTCGCTGTTCCGGCAACTACCCGGACTATTCTTAGTTTCCTTCGCCGCTCCGGCCGTCTACCAGACGGAGACCGCGCGCCGTTGAGTCCTCTCTACTGCTGCGCTGCGCTCGCCCTCCAAGCGTTTGTTCGATCGTCCAATGCGCGGGTGCAGGCCGGCGCCGCCGCCGTCGTCTTCCTCCGGCGTGCTGGTCGCGACGTGCCACACCAATACAATACACCATGATTCTTCTCGATGTGTGTCTGAGCCTTGCTGTACCTCGAGAGGTCCTCGTCGCCTTTCTGGTCGGTCCTCCTCTTCACCCTTCAGGGACTCCTGGCCGCCGACCAAACCGTCTCTGTTCTTCGCGAGGGTACTGCATATCATCTCCTCTACCTCTTTGTCTGCGGAGACCGGCCGGAGAGAGTCGTGCACTTGTTGATGCGCAAGTCCTCGTCGCCGGTGAGCAGGACGAAGGACCTTGCCGTGTGGTACAGCTTGACGATGCACTCCGAGAGACGTACGTCTCTGCTTCTTGGTCGCCTTGAGAAGATCGAACTGTCCGAGAGAGAACGGTTTCGCTTGAACAGCCCGGTTATCGGCCATGATACACAACAAAACAGTATCAGCCGGTTAATTAGCTGTAGAAACCATCAGTGGAAGTTTAACCAAATATACTTAGCGTTGTTATATAAATAATTACCGTTAGACAAATCACATAATGCATTTTCATAGTAAAACTCTATATTTAAGATATATAGATGTTGATTTTTTATATACATCTAGTCAAACTTAAATCTGGTTAACTCAAGGGCCGCCCCATCCTACATAGCACCAACCACCGTGGAGGTCACATCTTGTTCCTACACCATGCAAAGGGTGTCGCCGACTTCGTTGCGCCGTCGTCCGTCCCTCAAGCTTCTAGAGATGCCACGAGCATTCCCGCACGCCGCTAACCATCTTGAACGAGCCGCCATCCATTTGATTGTCGCAGCAGAAGAGCCGAACACCAAAGATGTGTGGCCAACACAAACGCGCCCGGTCGAAATTGACCACATCCAACCGAATAGATACCAACCACGTAAGGACACTCACAAGAGAAAGCTTGACACACCACCGTCCATGGATTCCACAACCAAGACCTTCCGTTGAAACACCATAGTTGGTAGTAGTCCCGCAGAGTTGCCACCAACGTACCCGCTATGCCTCACCAACCAAAGGAGCTACCGCAACCTCACCGAAATTGGCCACCGCTAAGCGAGACCAATCGTCGTGGCCCATTACTAAAGAGAGCCGCCAGGACAAGCTGTCATTCTTGCAACAAACAAGCACTACCAACATAATGCAACACTAGTCGACGAGGACCGCCGACATCCCGACCAGCACCCGACCACCGCAGAAGCCCCGGGGATGGAATGAGGCATCCCCAGCCCACCAAATTCGCCACGCAAAGACCCCGACCACCGACTACCGAGGCACAAGACCGACACAACCAACCACACTCAAACACAAGTACTACCACATGGAGCCCAAATTTGGTGAGCCCAAGCCCCGTGGGCGCCGATCCAGGTCTTGCCGACGAACAGGCGGAGCGAGGTGGGCGCGCACAGACCGCAGCAGACGGGCTGCTACAACACCGATTCAGCCTCAGCAGCGCGCCCGTGAGTGCCGCCAAAGACGCTCAAGACGCTGCGCCCGCTCCTTCAACATCACACACGATTCGTGACCTCCTCCCCTGGCTCCACCAGATCCGGTCACAGGGCCACGAATGCATTGACTGTGAAAAATTTATAGCCACGGCACAGAGCTGTACTATACGCTTATATATACGAGGATGGCGGATGGCCACCGAGGAGATTGAATCAGCCAATCACGCAGCGCTGAATGAGAAAAATTTATATGTCAAGCTCTCTCGATTGGTAATGTGAGGTGACACCACGCTGCGTACCTTAGTCCAATCCGGAGAAGAGGTGGATGAAGAACTCGCCTTCATCCCCGGCAACCATGCCCCACGATGACAAAGGTGATGAGCAGGTCCACGTTCTTGCCATGGACGATATTGACGAGCTTCCCGTGGGGAACCCGCCGGTAGTGCTCGACCGCAGAGGCGCCGACACGGTGACCCACACGGACATGCGACCATCGCCACGCCGAATAGCGCCAGGTCGTCGGCGACCGGAAGCCGGAGTCGAACAGATGAGGTACTTGGTGTAGAGCAAGTCCGTTGACTCTGTGGAGGTACTATCATTTTTTTTAAATCGAAGCTTATTAGCCTCCGCTGACTCGAGTGATTGACACGAGCCAACCTGGCAGCTTCGTGTTTACATTCACAGCGGCAGGTGCGTGCGTGTCGAGCCACCCACCGCCATCCGTCCCTCGACTACACACCACCATCCACGCCTTCCTCTCCTCCTCCTCCACCGCCGCCTCCACGCTCTTCACCTCGGCCAGGTTCCGCGTCACCAGCGGCCTTTCACGCCTTCCATGCCCGCCCAGAATGCTTCGCCTGGCTTAACGCGTTAGGCGGCGGCGGCAGCTGTCTCGGGGTCGGGGACCCCACCACGGAGATGCCTGTGGTCGGGTTCGCTTCCATCCCGTCCGATCCGCAAGCAGCCTTCGTCGTGGTCTCGTGGGAGTCGACACCCAACAATTCAGTAGTTAAGTCGGTGCAGGCTTATTAGATAACAAGATGTAAGTTGGCTAAATGCCGAGGTAGAGGAGAGAGAGAGAGAGAGAAGAGAAGCGGGCTCTAAGGTTACAACCAGCTTTGGCATAAGAACCAAGAAACTCGTGAGAGAGACAAGTGGACTATGTATTAATAATAAAAAGCTAACAACTATATGAGTAATGAGAGAAGGCTGCAAAGATACCTTAGATCCAAAGAAATGGCTATATTATTAGCCTTGCTCTCATCCCTATCAATGCACGCATGCAAATCTACCCCTATGAGCATCTTCGAAGATTGGGTTGGCAAATCCTCGAGATTGACGATACAGATGCCTCGCTGTCGACGAGAACATCGCCTACCACCAAAAGCACAAGGTCGTTAAATCCTAGAAAATCCGCTCTTTTAGGTAGTCGTTGAGCCCGGGACTGAGCTGCTTTTTGTGGCATTTACAATTTCCTAGATTAGCATAGGCTAGTGATAGGATTTGCTCTAGAGTGCTAAACTTTTGGTTGGTTATGGAGAGCACACTAGATAAATCCTAGGTTGTGTATCATCATGTTAGTTAGTTCGCTTTATCTCCAACTCTGTCTCTACAATTAAAAAATACGAAGGAAGACTTCTACTGCAGAAGACGACGTATGTCGCCCGCTTCACTCGCCTCGGCTGTGGTGAAGCCTTTCCTTACTACTACAAAAAAAGCATTTGTAGGGCGGCCAGTAACCCTTTGTAGGGGCGGTTTGGCCACCACCCCTACCGAGCCGCCTCTACAAATCATGCATTTGTAGGGCAGTTCCCAGCCGCCTTTACAAATCGATTTAGGGGCGGTCAGTACCAAATTACGCCTACAAATTATAGGGGCGGATGTAGTACCACCGCCGCTCCCTACAAATACTGTTTGTAGGGGCGGTTCAATCTAGAACCGCCCTATAGTACGCTTTTTCGTAAAAAATTCAAATTTACAATTCAAAATCGCGTTGCCAACGCCTGCGACCAACATTCCGAACCGCGTTCACGCTGCCAACGCCTGCGATCCAAACTGCGTTAAGCGTTGTTTGAACGTCCCGCGACCAACGTTCGCGTTGCCGAACGCCCCGCGACCCCGACTATAAGCACAAGAGTATTATATAAACTACAATTACAAGTCCAATTCAAAAGAATATATACAACCCATCATTAAATATACAAATTCCATACACATTGTTATCAACGTCCTAGAGCTAGCCTTTCACCTCATGAAGGTGTTGATACCGAGGATTTATACCTAAGTCGACTCTCGGTCATGATAGGCGCCTTTGACGTGTACAATCTGGTCCAATATGAAGTTGCAAAGGTCGCATGACGAGCTCTAAGAGTTGGT